TTATTAAAATTTTAATGATTTGATCGTGACACATAAATGCATCCATTCGATAGTTAAGAAAAAAAAAACATGTTGGTTCTAGTTTTGTAAATAGCAATGTTTTCGTTACAATGTATGTAATTATGTCTACAATTTTGCCTATAAGTGTTAGTTTTTTAGATGACTATAATATTAATCTTTAATTTATGACATTAATTTAAGTAATTCAATAGTTTTATGGTTCATCTTGATAAAAAATATATGAGAATATCTTGGTATAACTCTTTGATATATATATAAATATATTGGTTGCATTATGACAATGTAAAAGATATCAAAAAAATTCAAAGTAATTGTTGGGTGTTGAGCAATGTGTGGAGCAAGAGATGGTTTATTCACATAAGATTTTATAAAGATATTATATATAATTAAATTGATAGTATAAACTAGGAGATGAGATATTATACGTGAGATATTTGAAATGAGAAAAAAAATACTTCTTAGCTTTGTTGAAATAATTTGCATTGGTGTAAATTAAAGATTAGAAATGGTGTTTTAGCTATCACTATAGAATGAATTGCTACAATAAAATATATATGAATTGTGGGAGGCTTCTCTTATTGTGGTGTAATGAATTCTAGAGTGTTAATAGTTACCAAGTGATGAGTATCATATAATATTTTATATTGGACATTACAAGTTGGGGGGGCATAAAGGGTGGCTTGTTATTGTTGCTTGTTAGTGGATGTTAGGCAATAATGAGCAAGAAATATCAAAGTTGAGTGGAGATAGGCAATCAATTAGATCATTCTCAGGAAGGAGAAATTAGTGACCAAGAAAATGATGTCAAATCTTTATATTTGATGATGGGACTTTTCTTAAGAGGGATATCAGAGGATATATAAATGAGCATTTGACATTGGCAGCTAATGGATGTTAGATGTTAATCATTAGCAAATATTGGACAATAATTGATAATGAACATTTTAGTTTATAAAATGGCAGTAAACATTCATTTTCTTATAGAAGCTTAAATTAGGTAATCAAGAAGAAAAATGTCAAATATTAATGGCTGATAAAAATTTATCTTTTGT